CCCCCTATGCCCCCCAGGCAGGCTCTGTGCCCCCCTGCTGCCCCCCGCCAGCCAGCCAGCTCCGACTCCCCACGGCGCCCCCACATCAGCTCCGCACCCCAGGTGGGAGCAGGGTACCCCCTCTGCTGTAGCCCCCACGGAGCTCTTTACTTCTCACCTCAGCCACCGGCGTTTCCACACAGTGCTGTTTCTCTCCTTCCTCTTCCCTGACCCACGCTGGCTGGCAAGCCAGGGCTTTCCCAAGCACATCACACAAGCTGGTGGTGCCACATCCCACACCTGGTGGTCCCACACCTGCCCAAACAGGGCAGGGGAAGCTAGCAGAGGTCCCGAGGCCACCAAGACTGCCACTCAGACCTACGTGTCCCAGTGTCGTGGCACTCCGGAGGAGAAGCACTTCCCCAGCCCCTTTCTGCAGTCCCTGGGATCTGAAACTGTCCTGTGGCCAAAAAGACCTCTGTAGGCGTTGGCTGGTGAGCAGGGATGGCCCTGGGACCAGGCTTGCCTGCAAATTTGTATTTAAAAAGTAATAAATAAAAGGTAGTTATGGTGATACAAGAGTTTCTTGCGTGGGAGATGATTTCATCAGACTGTCCCTTTCTCAGATCTGAGGGTTGCCAGCTCCAGGCCCCTTGTAATGCAAGGGAAGACAGGCCCAGCCCCGGTCCCTTGTCCTCAGCACAAGCTGGGGAAAGAGCCATCAGGTTGATTGCAAAAAGAAAAAAAAAGGCAATTGTTTTGCTTCCACTCTTCCTTTTTAATGAAACACTTTCCAGTGTTTTAAGCAAAACATGACTTTTCATTTTGAAATTTCCTTTCGAACCATTAAAATGTTTTAAAGCGGTTGAAGGCGAAGTGAGATGTTTTGATTTTTGTCGCTATGAAATGTTTCACTCAACACATTCTTTGTGTTTCTTGATTTGCCAAAATTTTTCAAAGGTTTCTGCTTTCTCACCCAAGACGTATCTATATATTTTTTACTTTTTGAAAAGGAAAAAAAAAAAAAAGGGAGAAAAATATCCTTTATCTCCACGGCTCCACAGGAAGCAGAACTTTATCCAAGAAACAAGGAGCCAAGGGACTCCTCTCCAAAGTTTCAAACTTTCAGACACTTAGTCATCCCTTCACTTGCTTGCTCACACACCAAGTCTAGACATACACTGTCTCAAACTCTGGCAGGGACTCTCCCATCCCCGGAGGTCAATCCAGGGTCTTTTGGGTTTGATTTTGAGCAGCTCTGAGGAGAGGCAGAGCAGCAGAGCTGAACGTGCACAGCGGAAAAGGGAGTGGTGGCTGGGGAGGACAGACAGGGACATTGTGGACCATGGGATGTGGTGGCCTGCTGACCCCGCAGACTCTTGTATTGCAGATCCTTCCCCCATTTCCCAAGTCACAACACGATGCTTCAGCGCATCAGGTAGACATGAGAGAGCAGGAGGCAGAAGACCCTTCAGGGAGCCGGCATGGGTAGGGTACAAGACACACATGGGGGCAAGGTGAGTTGTCTGTAGCTTCAGTGAGCCCCAGGCAGCCCCACGGTGTCTCCCAGGGAGAGAGGCAGAGCGATCCGAGCCGCTCCAAGGGAAGCATCCCAGCACGGGGCCTTGGAGGAGCCATCGGGACAATGCAGAAATGGCCAGGACTTTACCTCTGCCGTCTGCTGGAGTCTGTAAAATCCTTCCTGTCAGAGATAACTAATCCTGGGGCCTTTACAACACCTCTCCTGAAAAGCACATTTCATTCCACCGTCTCCTCCTGCCTTCCAAGTGCATGAGATTGCAATAGGTATTACTGAAAATACTCCCCATGGGAGCTGACACTGGACTCCCTTAAAACCCAAACACCATCACCCCTCCTTCCCCAAGACACAAGCGAGCGCTATGCTCTATTATCTCTACACCCACTAAATCTTTCTGAAATAAAGAATAAACATTTCCACCACACATAGTGTAAGTGTATGTGCCAAGCTGCATCGCTTCCTCTCCTCTGTGGTTGTTATAAAGTGTTTTTGTTTCAATGGTGAAGCAGATGGACAGAGTCCAAGTCTGGCGTCCCCGCTCTCTTCGAGTACATCTAATGCTATCTTTGGTTTATCGCAGATTCCTGAAGAAAATGTTTACGGGATTCTCTTGTTTAAAATCTTGGCTCCATCACAGCATAATTCCTATTATTTATTAAATGAAACTCAAGCTGTTGTTAATGCACCATTACTGTGGCAATGTGGAGCCCTTGAAAACAAAGGCCAAACACACTCTCTTTCTCTGAGCGCGAGGGAAGCATCTCCCCATCATCGTCACTCACACCGCAATGGGCTGAAAAGCAGTCTCATTGCCTGTGACTCCTTAAACATTTTCTTTTTGGTGAGAAGAGCCACGGACTCTTTTGCTTTGCTGTCCAAAACCTAACATCCCAGAGTCAGACAGTGTACAGATTGTACATAACACCTTTGGAGGGGCTTTACCTAAGACAACTCTGTGTCAATGCCCTTCTCTGTTCACCATGACCAAATTAATTTTCCTCCCTCTTCTGCAGTTTTCCTCTAATGTATTCCATGGAAAAACCAAAGCCCTTCCTAGTTCCCACCAGCCGCAGCCCCCATAACACAGTGAGCTCCATATGGATGGTCTCTCCTGGGTTGAAGTGCGGCAGAGTTTAAATTCCAAACTGGTTTTCAGAGGAGATTCTTAAATTTTCCCAGAAATGTTGTGTTGCTGCTTTGAACTGATTGTTTATTTGTCAATTTAGTCATTACCTTCTTCCTTACTCCTTTGGCTTTTGATAAGACAGAAAATGTCAAAGGGAAGGGAAACAGGCTCAGAATGATTTCCCCTGGCGAAGGATCCCAGTCCCCAGAAGCGAAGGGAGTTTTCTCATCAATTTTAGCAGAGACGCGGCTTCACTCACGGTGCCAGGTTAAATCAGTGTTCAAGTTTTTTGCAGGGTTTGTGCGTTAGACTTGAGCAAAGTACCTGGGTCTTCCAGAGTGATCTCAATCTGTAGATCTCAAAGCCCTTTCAAAAGGAGCTTAATACTGCTGATCCCAGTTAAAGGAGGTGGGAAGAATTGGCCAGGCAGTGGGAGAGCCAGAAATGGATTCCCACTCACCCCATTCCCAGCCTCATGCTCAGTCCCCTGCATCACACCGACTTTACCATGGTCATGGTGTATTCTATTCAGAAATGCATGTCTTCGATTAATGCATTGCTTATTAATATTTCCTATTCACAAAATTATTACAAACAACCTGAACACGGGTAAAATACTACAACCACAGGAGAGGGGATCAACTTCTGTTCACGCAAAAATTTGTTGCATCTAAACTTGTTGTTTGTTGCTTATTCAAATGCAAGTAACAAAATTCTTACCGTCAGAAGTTTACCAAAAAGGAAAAAACGGCTTTTCCCAATAGCTGACATAAACATGTAAGTGCTACCAAACATATTTACATGTTTGAAATAGATGGTATAATTACAATGAGTTATAGTCAATATTCAGTCTTTCCCCGGTTTAAGTGCTACCTTCTGATACAGCACAACACATCTTTAATCGTAATCACATACTCTTTCTTACAGACTGTTGCCATTTTTTTTCCACAAAAACATCTGTAATTGAAAAGAAAATGGCATTGTTTAAAATAAATTCTGTGCCCTCCTGGAAATAAACAGGTGACTTCCCTTACAGAATGTCCTATTTCTGTGACTTCTACATCGCAGCAAGCCATCTGCAAAATCATTTTGGACATATTTCCAGACCCCAAACTTGAATTTCAGCAAGGAAATGCAGTTTTTGAAGACTGAAAAAATCCAACAAGGATTTTGAAAACAAGTCAGGTAAAAGCTATCAGAGGAAATATCAACAAAAGCAGTCATAGAGTCATCCAATAAAAGCAGGTCCATTCCAGACTCAACAAAAAAGGTCTTTTTCCTTCTTTCAGCCAATACTGATGTTCCTCAAAGGATACAAAATAGCCGTTAAATTCACTTTTATCTAGTGTGTCTCACATTCTGCACAGTGCTTTTAAAAAGAGAAAGCCACATTAGAGGGACAAACACATGACTCTATTCCACAGCTTCTCCATGAGATCTCACAAGTCAGCCCTCAAAATGAGACCTCCTCTTCACCACGAGCAGTATGGGCTCACTTTTGTAGTAAGCCCATTTTCAGATGACTTACTAAGAAGGCATACCCTAGCCTTCTTTTACAGATGAGGAAATGGAGGAGCAAGAAGAAAAAGCACCTTACCTCTGTGAACCACTAGCAAGAGCCGAGATTATCACCCAAAGGTGATCACATAGCATCTACCTTGAGTACAGTGAAAGAAATCCCTGCTGCCTCAGGTGAACTATAAGTATCTAGAATTACTTTCTTTGTGTCTCAGATGCAGACTCATGGTTTTGGGATGTTTTCCACCACGTCATCTACCTTCAAGTGGTCTTTATGGAGTTCATCGGCAGGCAGAAGTTGGTTTTCCTCTCTTGAGCTTTCCACAGATTTCCAACGCTGAGAAAGGCTGTGAAGGAAGAGGCTCAGCTACAGGTTTCCAATTTCACCTTCATAAAAGAGGGGTTTAAGGCTATGCCCAAAGACAATTCTCACCAGCCCTGAATCAAGGGATAGAGCAAACGCCCTCTGCCACTCCGCAGAAGTAAAGTTGGTGGGAAGTGTTCCCCCATGTAAAGGTCTGCCAAGAAGACCCTTGCTGCTCTCTGAGCTAGAGCCCTACCATCCCATGCATCTCTCAAGTTGGACATCACCACAAAGCAGTGAGCAAAGAGGTCACAGTGAGAGACTTAGGTCTCTATGGCGGTAAGCAAGCCAACAGCTCAAATTTGCTGACTCGCTTTTCGATAAAATCCCCCCCTTGGCTTGCTCACAGATTTCTCCAGTCTCTCTCGCGGGGGTTTTGACCCAGTGTTCCTGCAGGCTTTCCTATTATCAGCTGTCCCATCCTTTCTACACGACTGCCAAAGTTGGACCTTAGCCTTTCATTTCATTTTCATTTGGCTTCTTCCCCAACTTCCCATATTTGAGCACTTCGCTTATTATCAGTCTGGTCCCTTCTGTACTTTGCTCAGCTCCATTCTACTAATTGGTTGGAGCGTGGGCCCAGCATTTCCTAAAACAGTCACTTCCCCTTGCATGTAGTCACTGCCACGCATTCAACACCCTGCCCAGACTCCCAGAGCAGGAGCGACACTTCCTTTCCAAAAGGTGCTGGTGCCCTTAACTGAATGGGTCCGAGACAGTGATCGATATAATCACTGATATATGATTGTGTCCCATATTGGTTCTTCACAGCCCAGGAAACATGTCCCCTGGCAGGCCCTGAAGGTTGTAGGACAGATAGGCTTCACAACCAGACATCCATTTTCACTATTGCTCTTACCAACAGCTTTCCCAGTAATATCCCTATTTTGCACACCACCTTGGGAAGCACCCAATTTCAAATAGCCAGCAGCCTAAAACTAGGATGTTCATTTTAATTCCTATGAATTGAAAATATTTGGATTCTTGTACGGTCAGAGGAACCAAAGGTGCTTGCATCACCCACGTTGATGACCTTGTTTTTCCAGAACACAAGTCACCACCACTTCCCTGTGGCTCCCAGGTCATAAAGAGGTGTCAGAACCACTTGCCTCTCACTTGTGGGTAAGGAGGCAGTGCTGCAGAGAGGATAACCACAAATCACAGCAGCAGCAGTCCTGCCCCCAGACCCAACCCAAGTTCACCAAGGACTGTACTTTCCCTGGTCGACTGGGCAGAAAACCTGCAAAGCTTAATTTCTTACCACGCTTTCCCAGGAGGAAAAAATCTCACTTAGAATTGCTGTCAAGTTGCATATCATATCTCACCCCAAAAAGACTTAGGCAGGTTAAGCCTAGAAGAAAGATAAACTCTCAAAGGCTGCTTGTTTGATAAGGGCACATCTATACTCCAGTGGCACCTGGTTACTGTGGGACATGTGGAGCTGGAAGCTGGGCTGGGGGAGCAGGTTGCCCTCCCTAGGCACCGTTCTCCAGAGGGGAAGCCAGAAAGGACAAGTTGTCACGAGCTCTGAATGAGAGCAAAGCCTGCAGAGCAAAAACTGTTCGCATCTTGCAGTGAGCTCAAAGCCACCTAAGCACTCATATTCAATGGGTGACCCACCAACCCCACCAGCTCAGCACCTTGCTAGGGAGGGAAAGCCACAG